TAGATTAGATTTTATTTTGTTTTAGTACAGATCTAAAAATCTAGATTTAGATCTAGGAGGCTATTTTGTGCTTGTGAATCACTACCAAGACCAAGCTATTTTCTACTAGATCTAGATCTAGAACTGAAGTCATTCCGTAGTACCAAGTCAGGTCCAGACTAAGATTTATTTTGTCAGCCCAAGGTCCTGTATCATTGCTCTTATTTACATCTAGATCTAGATGTAGATTTTTAGATTCTGTTTCTAACTCAGGCAAGCATTATAAAATTGAAATTGATGCTCTGTTATATTGAGTCGTCTAAATTTTTCAAACATTCATGTTTATAATTTCAGGTCCTGATGAGGACAGTGACGATGCCGACCCAGGACCTTCAACGTCTGCGGGACCGCCTCCTAAACGCATGCGACCGTCTGGTGATGTGGCACCTGCGCCTGCACCTGTACCTGCACCTGTACCTGCACCTACACCTGCACCTGCACCTGCACCTACACCTACAGGTGACTGGACTGAGGATCTCACTGGGTTTCCTCCTGGGGTCCCCTTTACTGGGCAGCCTGGCGTGCACGTACCAGATAATGTCGTGACTCCTTTGGATTTTTTCTGTCTCTTCTTCACGGCAGATATCTTACGAGTTATCAAGACAGAGACGAACAGGTACGCTGCTTCTGAGCTGGGTCGAAGACAGCTGCCCCCTGAGAGTCTCTACAAGAACTGGAGCACAGTGACACTGAAGGAGTTGTGGGGGTTCTTCACCATCTGGGTAGTACACATGTCACTGGTCAAGAAACCCTGTCTGAAGGACTACTGGAGTACGGCAGAAATCATCCGCACATCGTTCGCCCCCAAAATCATGTCAAGGAACCATTTCATGCAGATTCTTGGCCTCCTGCATCTCAACGACAACACCACGTACGTCCCCCTCCGAGAAACTGGTAATGACCCTCTCCATAAGCTGCGACCAATTATCGATCCCCTTTCTGCTACTTTCCGAGACCTCGTGACCCCTCGACAGAAACTCGTCATCGATGAAGCCATCTGCCCATGGAGGGGAAACCTGCGGTTCAGGGTGTACATGAAAGACAAGCCCAACAAGTGGGGGATCAAACTGTACATGCTGTGCGAGAGTGCCTCTGCGTACGTCTGTGCCTTTGAAATTTACGCCGGCGACCCTACCATCAGCAACAAACCCGTGGATGTGTGCCGACGAATGATGACGCCGCTAATGGACAAAGGGTACATTTTGTACACGGACAACTACTACACCTGTCCAGCTTTGTACCAAGAGATGATCGCAGGTGGCACCATGATTGTTGGTACGGTAAGAGCCAACCGTGTTGGTATGCCGAAGGATTTGGCAGCGCTAAATCTAAGGACAGGAGAGAGTGCGTACCGACGGCAAGACAAACTGGTGGCCCTCCGTTGGCAGGATAAAAAGTCTGTCAACCTGCTGACAACGGTGCACGACCCACGGAGAAGGGTGACAGTGAGATCAAGGGCCCAGACCAAGGAGAAACCGCAGGTGATCCAGGATTACACTCTCAACATGAGGGGTGTAGACCGCAGCGACCAACTCATGGCCTATATGCCCTTCCATCGCCGCACCATGAAATGGTGGAAAAAACTGTTTGGGCATCTGTTTACCCTCATGATGGTGCAGGCATCCATCCTGTACAACAGGAAACAGACGTCAACAGGTGGGAAGCCTCTGCCAATTTCCAAGTTTATCCAGAAGCTTGGACAGGGCATGGCGGAGGAATTCTTGGGCTGGCAAGAAGGAGATTCCGAGGACCCAGCTCCCACACAGCTTGACCGCCTTCACTCACGTTGCTTCCCGGACTACATTCCTTCAACTGAGAAGAAGAAACGTCCCACCCGGAGTTGCAAGGTGTGCTATGAGAAGGCGAAGCAACCGGGCTCCACAATGAAGCGGAAAGAAACGTCGTTCTGGTGCCCATACCACAAAGTACCCCTGTGTGTGGTCCCCTGCTTTCAGGACTTCCACACAAAGAAGGAGTACTGTAACTAAACCCCCTGCCCCCTGGATTACTGGAGTATATACTTATTGGATACACAAGCCTTTGGTGAGTCAAACTGCATGTTTTTGCATGTTATGTTTTGTTTTGCTTTTTCACGAGGCTTCTCGTATTTTCTCTCAACCTCTGTCTGTGCCAACCATGCGGGTTTTGATGCAAAATGCAGTCTCTTTTTCACCAGAATTCCAAGCATACACATGCCTTGCACAATAACAGTTATCAATCTTTACTTTTAGGGTCTTTTTTACAGCAAATACACTAACAACCTAGCCAAGGTTGTATCATGGATGCTGCAAAATTTTTTTTTGAATTTCTCAAAAAGGGTGTGTTTTTGAAAAATCGTGAAAAAAAAAGTATCCAACATAGAGGATTTTCGTTAAATGCACTGTGTTTAGCAAGGTTGTATCTGTAAGTGTGCCAAATTTCAGCTTTGTAACCCAACAACAACACCACTAAATAATCTTTTGAAAACCCTCCAAAAAACCCTGGTCCCAAGGGTTTGTGTCCGAAAATAGGGCTGGTCCCGAGTGAGTTAAAGTCACGAGTAGGGGGGTTTTAGGTCCCCCTGACTAATAAAAATATAGAATCTATAATATGTAGGCCTAGGCGGGGAGGTTCAGGGGGGCATGCCCCCTGAGCCTGAATGTTATCCTAATTTGATGTTTCGCAGTTAGGTTGCACCCCTGCTCTTTGTGTAGCCTATATTTCAAATAGCATTTGGTCATCAAAACTTCTGGATTTCTTCTCTGGATGTAAACAATGGATCGTGGATTTGAACGAACAGAACTTGTTCTACAAGATCACAGCTAAATTATCGGCGCTTTTTCGGTAGTTCCCACCCCGCAGCAATTTTATTCACGGGTTTGGGCCACAAGAGTAGGGGGGTTTCTTGCCCCCCTGACCTAATAAAAATAGGAAGGGGGGTTTCAGGGCGGCATGCCCCCCTGAATTTTACCATAATTTAATGTTTTGCAGTTGTTAGGTTTGATATCTTAGCTCACCGCGAATCAAACATATAGATCTAGATCTAGATGTAGATCTAGGTCAGGCTCAAATAAGGGGGGTGGGAACTACCGAAAAAGCACCAAATTATTATCTACACACGGCAGTCCTAATCCTGAGTTCAGCCCCGGTTTGCACCTCAGAAGAGAATGTTGCTTTCTTCATTTGATCAGTCCTGCCTAAGACGGCCAGCTGTGTTATACGGTCACTTTTCTCCACAAGTTCGAAGGCCACACAAGTTTGACTGTACTTACTCACTCAATGCGGTACGTCAAAGCCAAACCAAAACAATAACAATAACACGGAAGTGGGGCATTGGGCAATAATTGGGCATTGGGCAATAATAACTTCAGAGCATAGACCTATTAGCCTAATTATAGGTCTATGCTTCAGAGTTAGAGAACTCAGATTTTATTATTGGATCGGATCTCATTGTGACTTTTATTTTCATAAAGTCGAAAAGTTGGATTTGTTCTTTATTTTTTTATTTTTTTATTTCCTCCTTGACTCCATTCTTTTTTCCTTTAATTTAGAGAGTTGTTGTTGTTTTTCTATGATAAGTTCCTTTTTATTTATCAATCACATATTATTATAATTATTCATCAAATTCTGGAGTCGATAAGGCAAGAGAAGCAAGAGACCCATTATTATATACGGTCTTTGATTACACTGGATAGATACACCGGCAGCTACAATTATTATTACTATTAGGCCTATCCTAGACGTCCTAGACTGCGCACTCGGATAACACAACACTCCCAATTAATCTTCCGTAAAACTGTCTTTACTTTACTAGGCCTAAATCAGGATGTAGATCCTACCAGATCTAGATATCTAGTCCCGGTTCACAATGAAAAGCGTCATTATTTTGAGTCAATTTGGAGCCAAATGAAATGAAGGATTCCACACTCAGTTAACTCTGATCTTATCAAAAATATATATTATATAGCTATTTATATGAGTGTCTGGTGTCATATAATGTCAGAGCCCGTGTGTATGCCTTTTATATGGGTGCCCATTGTGCAAGAACCAGTCACTTCAATTTCATCACACCGGTGCAGTCAAGACGTCACAGTCATCTTATCCCACCCCAAATTTACAAGGTTGAATGGAGACGGTCATTTAGCCACACACTTGCAAACATCAAACTCAAACGTGCATTTTCGTGGCAATTTTAATCGCAAGTCACGATTATGGGGGAGGATTGGGTGGGGTTGAGTGTGGAAAGGGTAGGGGGATGCGAGTCGTCGTGCCTACCTGATCAGCTGAACCGTTCATAAACTGGGTGAGTTTTGTCGAGTTGTTTTTATTGGTTTGGGGGGGGGGGGAGGGCAGGGGCAGTTTTAAGCTTACATACTTACATAAAATTGCTTTAAAACAAGAGGGCACCATCCGACAACAAACGTGCCCGAATTAGGTATGTATAGAATAAAGACTGCAGGCACTGATCTTATAAAACTCTATCTATGACAATTTTGGAGAGACAAGCGAAATCATTTCGTCCCCTAATAATTGTGGTGTGACGAGATATGACCATATACTAGCTGAGTATCCGGCTTTGCTCTCTCGGGGTCGACGTCTTGGCGTCGCTGCTCCTACTGGTCTACGCCTCGGAGGCATTTTACATCTACATTGCAGTCTCTAGCCTAGCCACACCTGGCAGTTCTATCTATACTGTTGCTTTAGCTTAGGTCTGCCTTGATTAACTCCTCTCTTGATCTACATTGCTTTAGTGTATTGCTGTCTAGCTCTTCACAATCACAAAGCATGGGTTTCGCCTTACACCATCACAAAAAGCATTAAGAAAATAAATACAGTGGAAACCTAATATAACAAAGATGGTGGGGCCAGAGAAAAGGTCCTGTTATATCCGATCCCTGTTAATTAAATCAGAAATGCAAGGGAAGTAAGCATTTGTGGACTAATCCAGCTGTATTAATTCATGGGTAGTTCCCTTGCACGAACAGGGTTTTGGCCATTGGCAGGCCTGCGCACAACACATTACGCGTGCGTGTAGCCCAAGAAGAAAGGAAGAAAGAGCGCACTGTTCAACTCGCTGAAATAGATGCCTAAATCTACTTTGAATTTCATAATGGCAGTTTTGCCTTGAGTTTTTTTAATCATATAAACTGTTTGGTATTTATTTCGACTGGTTTTTGTTCACATTTTGAATATAGTGAGTTGGGAAATAAGATTTTAATGAACGGAAAGCGGTAGTGAGTTGAACATGTTCAGTGACATGATGATGTAGATATCTAGATCTAGATCTAGATATCTAGATCTAAATCTAGGAGTTTACGAAACGGTAGAAGTACATTAGATATTACAGTTTAAAAACGACAGAACAGCCAGTGGTGCTCTGCAATGAACTGTTCTCTAACAGAATATACAATAGATTGGATATTTTTTAAACTGAAGATACGGTCCGAGGTGCCAGACGAGGGTGAAGACAGGATCTGCTGAGCAAGTCACCAGAATGTCTCTTTTCTGAGACAGTTCTCTGCTCTGAGTCTTGGGTACTTTGCGGACTCTCAGTTTCTTGGTGCTAAGGCAAACCAAATGAAGGTGCAATGCAGCCATACCTGTGTTATTCAAAGTTCCCAATCCCCGTACTCTAGAAAGAAACAAACCACCCCAAAAGGACTTACGATGCTAACGAAAGACTCATGCTCTTTTACAACGTGGAAATCCCTCAATCTCAAACATCATTTTCACAAGTAAATTTTTCTTTTAAAAAAATCTTGTTCATTTATCTAGCCAAGAATAAGCTATAAATTTGTTAAAAGTATGTGTATATATACTGTATAATAGAAGCGAAACCTCATCACATTGTGTTTGTTAACAAGGTAGGCCCTAAGTAATATATATAGGCGCCTATACTTATACTACAGCCTACGTTTTAAAACAAAATTGAATTTCATTTGGAAATCAAAATAAAACAAAGTGATACACATCATGCAGAATGGAGACTCTTATGTCACTGGAAAGGCTAACTGGGGTAAGCTGTCAAATCCATGGTTCTGGAATGCTTAGGTTATAATTATTAGTACATGTAGTATCACATCAAAGAATGAACAACAATAAAAAGAACAACAATATTAGACTCTATGACTCTGAGTATGAGAACCCTTCAATAGAGTAGACCTACTGTTAATTAGAGAAAAGCATTATAACATTGAGAGGAAGAAAAACTCAACAAATCCTTTTCTTAGTGGCCACTATAATCTAGATCTATAAACTTTGTTGTCTATACTGTGCCATTGAATGTGATGCATGTGTGTCTGTTGTTCGTGTTATTTATATAAATGCCACTCATAATAATGTGTTGATTAAATCATCACACCATTCTTCACAAATAGTATAATTCTATGACTTGAAAGATTATGTTTTTGCAGCTGTTGTAGCTCATGTTCTGGTCCACAATTAAGTTGCTGCTAGGATGGCATTCCTCTGCCAAGTAAATCGGTTTCTGCCACATCCCTTTTCATAGCAAGTTTGACAGTTTCTTCAATGCTTCACTACAAATACAAACAAGTCATCTGCAATTTACAAGTATTGCATCAAACCAACTTCACCCCACATTCCCCTCTTGAAATATAACATTGGTTGGTTGAAACAATTTGAAATATGGCAATGAACCCCCCCCCCCCCCAAATAAACAAAAAAACCAAAACAACAACAAACAAACAGAAAAAAATCACTCCAAAAACCCTACCTAGCATTAATAAAGACTGGATACAAATAATCCAAGCCCTTTTGATTCTGGTCAAGGAAACTGAAAGGGTGGTGGTAAGTATTTATTCAGCAACATATATGTTAAATCTGTAAACCTTTTTGCAGCTATCAAAGGAAAAAAACAGTCACTAGAGACAATCCTGCCCTGACCCCCAAGATTTTTGCACATGCTTTTCACCTAATAATGGTAAATAAAGTCCTCTAACCAGTCCTGGTATGAACTGTAAAGATGACATTGACGTGTAGAATTCTGTGCATTGACCACTTCCTTTCAGTTTTGCTTCCAGGTAGTTGGGCCAATAACTCAAAACATTGCACCACCTAAGTGTGCTCATAATATAAAGTCCAAAAAGAGGAGCAGCCACCAATGACTAACCTCATCGAGTCACTGAAAGTAGAGTACCTGGTGCAGTTTGAAAATGTTGTCACCTACAGCAGTGGGTACTTTCTTGGAAAGTGTCTCCAGTCATATGGGGCAATTCTAAGACTTTGAGAAAAAGGAGAATCTAGATCTAATTGCCCCACAAAAGTGAAGGCTTTCTAAAGCCATATTTCCTTTTGCTTGTACGCCCGATCAGAAGCTGTGGGACTGTTTGAAGCTATTCAAGCTTATTTAATTAATTGGGGAAACGAAACTTAATATTGTGTCGATGGGGGCTTAAGAACACACCATTTGTTTAATAAAGAAACTATAAACACCAGACAACATTTCAAAACAAAGCTACTGCCCCCGCCCCCCCCCCCCCCCACAACCCACCCGATGCAGTCAGTGATTGAAAATCTAAGACTGCCACTGCTGCTAGTGCTAGAGTCCAACTGTTGACTAGGATCTAGAGTCTAGATCTAGATCTAGATAAACTAGGCCTACACAGCGAGCTGTTCCCAAATGTCAGAATAAATTATCATGAACTGAAGTTAAGAAACAATGGCACTCCTGTACAATAGCGGTCCGGTTTGCACTAAATCACGCAAGGCCTAAGTGCCCGGTGTTTCTTATGACTTATTTAGATCTAGATTCTAGATCTAGACCTAGATTATAGATATATAGATATCTATATATAAGATTCTAGATCTAGACCTAGAAATCTAGATCTAGATTCTATATCTAAACTGAATTAAAATTATAGATCTAGATCTATAATATATCTAGATCTAGAAATAGATCATATAGGCTATCTATAGAATCTAGATATCTAGATCTAGAATCTAGATCTAGATCTAGATCTAGATATCTAGAAATCTAGATATCTAGAAATCTAGATCTAGATTCTAGATTCACTGCCACATGACAATAATAATGGCCGTCATGTAAACATTAAACGGGACCATATAATTGTACAGGTGCACCGAAAAAGAAGCCATTGAAACGAGCACAGAAGCTTAAGTAGATCTAATCTAGATCTAGATCTATGTCTACTGTTGATATGATAGTATGAATAAAGTTGCATGATAGTGTGTCTCCGCCAATTCACAGGCAAGTAGCCTAGTCAAGAGTCGCCCTTCGGTCATTCGCCAACCACTAGGGCATTCTAGATCTACTTTCCGAACTGCACTCTTGGATGGGTGCACAACAAAATCTAGATCTAATCTAAATCTAGATCTAGATCCTGGCGTTTCTAGATTTAGATAGGCTACGTTTATTAATTAAATACTCTCTCTGGGCTAAAATATATAAT